CATGACAGAAAAAAAAAAAACCAACCTCTCTACAAATTAGGTAAAAAGAAACATTCCTCAACAAAACAAAGCCCACAGCTAACATCATAGTCAACGGAAAAATTGAAAACTTTTTCTCTAATATCAGGAATAATTCATCCAGCCTCACCACTTCTATTTAACATAGGACAAGAAGTTCTGGCAAGAGCAAGTAAGTAAGATAAACAAAGGGACAAAGGCATCCAAACAGGAAAAGAAGAGGTGAAATTGTCACCTGTTTGCTGATAAAATGATCTTATATACATAAAATCCTTAAAGATTCCACCAAAAATCTGTAAGAACTGATCAATGAATAAGTTAAGTTGTAGAATATAAAATTAACAAATGCTACTGATTTCTGTACACTAACAATGAACTACCTGAAAAAAATTAAGAAAACAATCCCATTTACAGTCGCCTTAAGAAAACACTTAGGAGTAAATTCAACCAAAGAATTAAAAGATCTATGTGCTTAAAGTTATAAAACATTGGTGAAAGAAATTGAAGACAACACAGATCAATGGAAAGATATCCTATGTTCATGGATTGGAAAAATTAATATTGTTAAAATGTCCATACTACCCACAGTGTTCTACAGATTCAATGCAATCCCTATCAAAATTGCAATGTCATTTTTCACAGAAATAGGAAAAATCCTAAAAATCATATGGAACCACAAAAGACCCCAAATAGTCAATGCAATCTTGAGAAAGAAGAACAAAGCTGGAGACATTACACTTCCTGATTTCACTTTTTTTTTTCCTCAAAACTGTAGGAATCAAAACAGCTTGGTACTGACATAAAACCAGATACATTGACCAATGGAACAGAATAGAGAGCCAGAAATAAACCCACGCATTTAAAGTTCATTGATTTTTGACAAATATGCCAATAATACACAATAGGGAAAAGACAATCCCTTCAATAAATGATGTGGAGAAAACTGAATATCCATATGTAGAAGAATGAGATCAGGTCCTTCTTTTCCCCCATGTTCAAAAATCAATTCAAAATGAATTACAGACTTAAACATAAACCTAATGCTCCCAGAAGAAAACATAAGAGAAATACTTTTTGACATTGTCTTGGAAAGAATTTTTTGGATGTGATACCAAAAGCACAGGCAACAAAAGTGAAAATGGAAAAATGTGCCTACATCAAATTAAGAAGCAGAGGAAACAATGAACAGAGTGAAGAGACAACCCACAGATTGGGAGAAAATATTCACAAATCATATGTCTGATAAGGAGCTAATATCCAAAGTATATAAGGAACTCAACTCACTAACAAGAAAACCAATAACCTGCTTTTAAAATGGGCAAAGGATCTGAGTAAACATTTCTCAGAAGAAGGCAAACAGTAAGTCATCAAATTGCCTCCTGTTGTTCAATATCCCTTCATTATAATGTTGATGAGGAAAGGAAGTCACTCCTGGCAGGGCCTCTGTTTGTGTGGAGTTTGCATATCCACCCCACGCCTGTGTGGGTTAGGGGTGTTCTCTGAGTACTCTGATTTTCTCCCACATTCCAAAGTTGTGCCCTTTCAGTTAATTGGTGTGACTAAATTGTCCTGGTGGGAATGAGTATGGCTGTGAATGTGAGTGCACCCTTTGATGGGATGGCGTCCTGTCCAGGGTGGGTTCCCATCTTGCACCCTGAACTGCTGGGAGGGGCCCTGGTCACCCATGACCCTGAACTGGAATAATTGGGCAAATAATTATCTTACTTGTTTTTATCTTTCTTAAATATGGGTAAGCTCACAGTTATTTCAGTGTTTAATATTAGAAGTGTTTTGAGTCCTTATTTAAAAGTTTGATGATGTTTTGTTACGAGAAATATGCCTTAGGAACTTCACTCTTGTTTATATCAGCCAGGCTGTAGTAAGTTGGTTTCTTTATACATTGTTTCACTTAAAGTCACATTTTCTATCAACCACGTTAAATGAGGATTTCTGTACAAATGGCCAACAGATATATTTTAAAAATCAACATCACTAATCATCAGGGAAATGCAAATTAAAACCACAACAAGATGCCACCTCACATCTGTTAGAATGGCTATTACCAAAAAGATGAAAGATAAGTGTTGTGGAGGATGTGGAGAAAAAGGGAAATCTTGTACACTGTTGAGATGTAGATTGGTTCAGCCATTTAAAAAAGCAGTATGGCAATTCCTCAAAAGAAGTTCTAAAAATAGAACTTCTGGGTATATAGCCAAAGGAACCGAAATGGTATGTCAAAGAGATCTCTGCGATTCTGGGTTCACTGAAGCGCTATTCATACTAGCCAAGACATGGCAACAACCTGAGTGTCTATCCGCAGATGAAGGGACTAAGAAACCGTGGCACGGACACACAATGGGATGGTATGCAGCCTTAAGAAAGAAGGAAATTCTGTCATATGGATATGGACACTATAGATTAATCTGGAGGATGTTATGCTAAGTGAAGTAAGCCAGGCATGGAAAGACAAATACCGCACAGTCTCACTTAATATGGAATTTAAAAAAGTCAAACACATAAAAGTAGAGAGTAGAATGGTGGTTGCTAAGGGTGCTGGAGCTTGAGTGGGTGGTTTTGCGGGGGGAGAGAATGTTTTTCAGAGGCTACAAAGTTCCATTTAGACAGAAGGAATAAGTCTTAATGATTTTATTGGGCAGCACTGGTGACTGTAGTTAAATAATGTTTATTTCAGAATTGCTAAAAGAATAGATTTTACATGTTCTCGCCACAAAGAAGTAAGTATGTGAAGTGATGGAGATATGTTAACTAGCCTGATGTAATAATTTCAAAATGTATACATGTATTATAAAATCACCTTGTATCCCATAAATAAATATAATTATTACTTATCAATTAAAAATAAAATTTTAAATAATAAATAAAATTAGGAAAGGAACTTTCAGAAGATTATGAAAAACAAAATATTATGCTAAGTGAAAAAAGACAGACACAAAAGATCACGTGGTATGTGGCATTATAAGAGGAGAGTTGATCGCTAATATGTCCTGTGAGAAGGATGAGCCCCACATCTTCTATAATATAATTCATTGTTTTATGCTGGTTTGGTACAATTCTCCGGAAAAAAGTAAGGGAGAAAGCACCTGCCTCGTGTACACTGGAGAATATACGAATATATCCATGGGCATGTGTTGGTGGCACTGAGTTCCCAGCACCACGTCTTTATTGGTAGGCACCATGGCCCTTCCCTGTCACCGCCTCTGTGGAGCTGGGTTAGATGGAAGTCCCTGCAAATTCCCCTGACTCCTCTCTCCAGGTGGCTTGTCCCAGCTCCCATCTTAGGCATGTCCTGCTTAAATAACCAAGTGACAATCACGTCCTGCCCACTCACACATGAATGAGCCCTGCAAGGACTCGCTTTTTCTTTCTGTTCAATATATAGAGCCTTATTGGAATTTAAAGTAAAGATGCCATCGAAGTCCATGTGCCTCTTCCTGTAGGGCAATGGAAGGGTCACCATGCTCACCGTGTTCAGAAGGCGCAGCACAGACCCAGGACGTGCTTTCCTCACAGGCCTCCCACGGAGGCCAGGGCTGCTGTGATGGCAGCAGGTGGTGGACTGCGGGTGTGGAATTGGGCAGATGTGTGCGGTGTTCACTGGACAATTGTCAGCTTGTCTCTATTTTGGAAACTTTTAATGAAATGTTGGGAGACTCTCTACTATAGATAGACACAGTATATGAGTCTCAGCTTCGAATTGCTTCACCCTCTCGACCACATCTTTGAAGACATTCATGACATTTGGCTTTCCTGAGAATTTATCCTCAGGTTTTAAAATCTTATTTCCTGGGGAGGGTCACCAAGCAAAATAAACCATCTGGGAGTTTTCAAGTAAAAGTGTTTGCTCACTCCCTTTCTTATTTTTTTATTTTTTATTTTTTGAGTAGGAGTCTCACACTGTTGCCCTGGCTGGAGTGCAGTGGCATGCTCACGGCCACCGCAGCCTTGACCTGCTGGGCTCAGGTAATCCTTCTGCCTCAGCCTTCCAAGTAGCTGGAATCACAGGCATGCACCACCATGCCTGGCTAATTTTATGATTTATTGCAGAGATGAGGTCTTACCATGTTGCTCAGGCAGGTCTTGAACCCCTGAGCTCAGGCAGTCCTCTCGTCTCTGCCTCCCAAAGTGCTAGGATTACAGGCATGTGCCATTGTTCCCGGCTTCCTTTTCTTATTTTTAAAACTAGCCTGATCTACAGGTAATTTTATCTGAAAATTAAGGATTTAAAATGACTATCCTCGTGAGTCTTGGGACATCATGGTAAGTGTAGTAAGCCAGTCAAAATAAGGCAAAGACTGTGTGACTCCATTCCCACAAGCTCTCCAGAGTTGTCACAGTCATAGGAGGGCGGAAAACAGAAAGGTACTTGCCGGGGCCTGGGGGAGGGGATCTCATGGGGACAGAGTTTTCATTTGGAAAGATGAAATGCATTCTGGAGTTGGATGGTGGTGAGAGTTGCACAACATTGTGAATGTGCTTAATGCCTCTGAACTATATACTTAATACGGCTAAAATAGTACATTTTTGCCGGGCACAGAGGTTCATGCTTGTCATCTCAGCACTTTGGGAGGTGCAGGCAAGAGGATTGCCTGAGCCCAGGGGTTCAAGACCAGCCTGGGCAACTTGGCGAGCCCTTGTCTCTGCAATAAATTAAAATATAACCAGGCGTGGTGGGATGCCCCTGTATTCCCAGTTACTTGGTAGGCCAAGACAGAAGGATCATCTGAGCCCAGCAGGTGGAGGCTGCCATGAGCTGTGAACCATTGCACCCCAACCAGGGCAACAGAGTAAGATTCTGACTCAAAAAATGTAAGTCTTACATTATGTCTATTTTGCCACAATGGAAAAGAATGTTTGACAAAGCTAAAGAATTAGGCTGAGCAACGTCTTGTCCACGACAGCAAAACGCCTGTCCCTGGGCAGGGTCCCGGTAACGCCGGCGTCTGGCTCTTGCTGTTTTCCAGGAGGAACACCTTCCTTCCATGGAGCAGCTGGCCTACCAGATAGAGGACGAGGAAATAAATCTGCGCGAGAAGCCCAGCAAGTACCTCACGAGGGTTTTCCGGGAAACCATCTACAAGAGCCTGATGGAGCAGCGCGTGCTGGACTACCTGCAGTACAACCGCTACCACCTGCCCATGTACGCCTGGCCAGGCATCATCTAGCCTGTCCCATGCACTTGCTTCCTAGAAGAGCTCTCTAGATACAGAAAGGTTCCCTGAAGGCCCCTGTGGTTTGTGGGTCCTTTCTGCCCCAACTCGAGCCTGTAGTTTTCCGTTGCTCCAGTAGGTGGCGCGCGGCCGCGCATCTTTATTCCGGGGCAGGGATGCTTTGCCAACACCAGGCATGTGCAGAGCAATCCGTTCTAGCAATAAAATGAGATCATATGGTGTGCAACTTGTTTTCGCCTTGGGTCTGACGCTCTCTAATCTCCTGGAATGTTCTGCCACCAATCTGGCTGGTTCTTCCCCTGTTTACCCAGGAATAGTTGTGGGTGATAAAAAAGAAAACCATGTGCCCAGAAAGGGACATTAGCAAACGGATGAGAAGTGGAAGTTGTGGTCTCACATCGGAAGCACTGATTACCCAGGATCTTACGGAACAGCAGGCTGCTGTCCACTGTCCCCGTGCTTCTGTTTCAAATTGCAGGTCGGGAGAATACAGTCACCCAAAAACCGGAAGATCAGGGGACCCGCACACAGGCTTTCAATTACAGCATAGAGGTCAGACATTAATTTAGCTCATTTTCTTTGACTCTTCACACTATTGCTTTGCACTGGGGGCTCTGGTACACATCATCTGTAATGTGAATCAGAAATTCTTTTTCTTAATAAAAAAAAAAGTAAAGTAACTGCCCCCTAGAAAACATGAATTGGGCGCTAGCAGGAACAACTATTGGTCTGGAATAATAATATAATCATAGGAACTTAGATTGTTCTCATGTATTTATTTGACTGTCTCTTAGTAGATCGTGTGACACTTTTTTTTTTTTGCCAACAAGTCTTAAAATTGATTTTCATAAACACAATTCCAGTTTTTGTCCTTTTTTGTATTTGTGTTAACATTTCGCAAATGTTGGCACAACCATAAGGCTCACACAGCTACTAGAAGAAAGGCCAGAGCTGGCACTTTAGAATTACACACGCATTAGCAAACTTCCTGCTGCAGACTCTCTTACTTATTTGGAACTAGAAAGCTATTTTAAATTTCTCAAAAAATAAATTATTCCAGAACACGGGACTCCGGTTTTTCCAAGGCAGGCAAAATCAGCAATAAACCCCACTCATTCCTTCACATGTACACTTTCCACAATCACATGGGCCATTTCAGAGGCGGGCCCAGCACCAGCCATATGGTACACACTGTGTCACTTGAATGGGGAACAGTCAATGCTGGTCCACTTATCAGAAGTCGGGCCCAGCACACGAGCTGTATTTCAGGGGCTGGTGAGTGAATGGGCTCAGGCAAGTCCCCTCCCTTGTCCTTTTCTCCCCAGCGGGCCCAGGTCAAACTCATCAGCAAATGGAGTGAGTTTCTGTGTCAGGCCCTGGGACCCTTGGATGGAGATTAACAGAGCAACTTCAGTTTGAGGATCAACAGTTATGGCTTCTGTGACCAAGTATTAGCATTAAAAAGCCTCTAGTCACATAAAAGTGACCCCCAATGGCAATGTCAGCCTTAATACCAAATCATGCATAAATTTGACGATAGTGGTTTTCCTTTGCAGCCTTTTAAAAAGTAGTCTTGGAGCTCCGTAAGCATCATAGCAGATTTGAAAACATCTGGAATATATTTTAGTCTACATAGTGTATTGGATAGCATTGTTTTAATCCTTGTCCCACACTTAGAAATTGGGTAATTTCCTGAATCTGAGAATTTTAGGCTATCTATCCTGACTTGATCACTAAAGAACAGGTTTCCTCAGAATAAAAGAGGAATTCAAGAGTTGTTGGTTATCATCTGAAATTGGCAGTTTTAAGGCTTTGGGAGAATAAGACCGGTGATGAAACCTGGACAGGAAGGGCTCTGAAGAGCCCAATATCTGGACTGGGCTGCATGCAGCACACATTCCGCAAGATGAGTGGACACACCAAGGCCCTGCATGTCTCAGCACCTGCTGCTGAACTGGGACGTCTTGGGCTCTAATCCGAATCTGGGAATTCCACAGTCTTGAGCAAAGAACATCGACAAGAAAACACCAAGGTGGATTTTTCAAAGTTTTATCTCCCAAATCATGGGCTGTGGCCTTGCCTACTGATGCCCCGAGGACCTCCCGACTAAGGTCAGCTTCTACGAGGTGCAGGCCCCTCCTCTCCAGAAATGGCCCCTTGTGGTCTTAGGATACTTGAGTACCTAGCACAGGAAAGCCAGGGAAAAGGGAAAGAGGAGGGGGGGGAGGGAGCCCCACGGAGGGTAAAAGTAAAGCCAGCCAATCAATATTTACCCTCAGAGAGAGAGAGAGAGAGAGAGACAGGGAGAGCGAGCGAGCAAGAGAGCGAGCGCTGGGCGAACCAGCATCAGCCAAGAGGCGACGAGCAGGCTGGAAAGTCTCCGCGTGCAGGAGCTGTTGATTGTTTTCTGGTTGAGAGAAGAAGTGATGATAAGGCTGGGATAAAGTGAGCGGGCGGCGGAGCGGACAGCTGTATGCTAATGCTGCAGAAACCAGGCTCAAGGCCCCCATTAAAGCAGGCGACCAGGAGGCCACACAGCACTGAACAAATAGGCTCTCTCTAGACAAATAAAATAACACACGTTGGCCTGTGGGGAGGGGGGAGAGGAGTGGGGGGAGAGGAGTGGAGGAGGGAGGAGAGGGGAGACAGTGGGACACAGGGAGGGAGTGGGGGAGAGGGCAGAAACGGGGGGAGAGGCGATGGGGGAGTCAGAGGAGAGAGCAGGAGGAAGGCAGCAGAAAGGACCAGAGAATGGAGGCAGGAGGGAGAGACAGAGAGAGGCTGGGAGGGAGGGGGAGAGGGGAGACTGGAAGGAGAGAGAGGAGAGACCAGGAGTGAAAGAGCTGGGGACAGGGGCCAAGGAAGAGCAGGAATCGGGGAATGAAGAGGAGGAGGAGGAAGAGGAAGAAGGGGTGAAGAAGAGGAGGGAAAGGAGGAAGGGGGAGGAAGAACGGGCAAGAGGAGGAGGAGGGGAGATGAGCAGGAGGAGGAAGAGGAGGAGAAGGAGGAAGAGAAGAAGGTAAAGAAGAGGAAGAGGAAAAGGAGGAGGAGGAAGAAGAGAAAGTAAGACGGGAAGAGACTGGGAGAGTCAGGAGGGAGAGAGAGGAGGAAGGGGGCGGCGGCGCGGGAGGAACAGCCGCCCCGAGCAGGATCGCGGGCCTAAAAGTCAAGTGCGCCCCTTCCCCTGCCGGGCTCCCTCTCGGTCCCCGGGGCGCGGGGGTGCGGGGCGGTGAGACCGTGTGGGGAGGACTAGAGGGGAGCTTCGGGGTGGCCGCGGCCTTGCTGGTGAGTTTTGCTCGCGTCTGGGGTTCACTTTCTGAGGCACGGGCGAGCGGCCGCCCAACACCCACAGGTGGGACCCGCGCTCTCTGGCGCCCAAGTTCAAGGCCATCCGAGCGGGCTCGGCGCCGTCCCGACGCTTTCTGACCCAGTCCGTTGCGACCTTTTCCCGCGTCGCCTCGGCCCGCGAAGCCCGCAGCCCCCTCCGGCCGCCCGGCCGGCCCCTCCGCCCCTCCTCCCCCTCCGCGGCCCGGAGGGTCCCACCGAGGCAAAAACACACATCCCCGAGGTCACTGCAAGCA